TGGGGGGAGGGGATAAAGGGTTTTATGGTTCCAAAATCGGGGAGGGGACAGTGTCCCCCCACCCAAGCGTGGCCGTACCTTTGTCCTGCGCTCTCAAGGCACAGCTGCTGGTCACGGTGGCTTCCTCATGGCTTGGTAGCCAAGTGGCCGAGCTCTGAGCCTGGGGGAGAGAGTGGGGTGGGGGTCCCAAGTCTCCATCCCCCCACTTCCACCCTGGTACCTCCCAGGGCCACCCCTACCTTGGGCTGGGGGGAGACGCTGCCATCGCCGTTCTCCACCCTGCAGAGGGGACAAAGGGGGTGTCACAGCCCCACATCTGCACCCCCCCCAGGACCCAGCATCCCCCCACAGCACCAGTAGGGTGTCCCAATGGTGTTTGTCACCCCCTTTTAGGGCTGGGAAACTCCCACGCTGGGGACAAGGTGGCCCCAGAGCTGCTGGTGTCCCCTGGGTTGTGACAACCATTGCTCGGCTCAGCCCCACCAACAGGGACCCCCCCCACAGCTGCAGCCCCCCGTTATCTGCGGGATGGAGAAGGGGTGGGCATGGGCAATTGTGCACCAGGACCTGGGGACAGTGGTGGCACTGGGGAGACAGAACCAGGCTCTTTTGGATGGGGACCCCCCGGGGAACTCACGTTCGGGGCCGTCGTCGCTCCTGCCCCTGCTCCTGCACCAGCGCACCCAGGCGGGGGTCTTGGCTCGCCAAATCAGCCAGGTTCTGTGGGAGGAAGAAGGCTGGGGGTCATTGGGGGGTGACCATGGCCAGGACCCTCCCTGGGGACAATGTCATGGGCACCCTGAGGTCACTGTGAGGGGCTAAAGGGGAGGACATGGGCACCCCAATGACATCCAGGGGTCAATGGGGGACATTGGCATCCCAAGGCTACCCCATGGGGTTAACAGAGTGGACCTGGGCACCCTAAGGTCACTGTGAGGGGTTAAGGGGGGACACACGGGCATGCCAAGGCCATCCCAGGGAGTTAACGGGCGTCATTGGCATCCCAAAGTCACTCCATGGGGTTAACGGATGGGACACGGGTATCCCAAGGCCACCCCAGGGGGTTAAGGAGGGACACATGGGCACCCCAAGGCCATCCCAGGGGGTTAATGGGGGACATTGACATCCCAAAGTCACTCCATGGGGTTAAGGGGGAGGGACATGGGCACCCCAAGGCCACCCCATGGGGTTAACAGAGGGGACACATGGTCACCCCAAGGACATCCCAGGGGGTTAACAGGGGACATTGGCATCCCAAAGTCACCCCATAGGTTCAACAGAGAGGACCTGGGCACCCTGAGGTCACTGTGAGGGGTTAAGGGGGGGACATATGGGCACCCCAAGGCCACCCCAGGGGTTAAGGGGACACTGTGCCCCCCAGTACCTGCAGCAGCGCTGTGGTGCTGCGGTCACCCTGCAGCAGGCGCCCGTAGAGCAGCACCCACTGGCTCACCAGGCGCAGGATCTTGCGCCGCTTGTGCAGGGTGTAGGTGGCCTTCTCCTGCTCTGAGCCCTCCAGCGGCTCCGCGCGGAAACTGGGACCAGTTAAGGACTGGTGGGGTGAAGGCAGGAACCCCCCTGTGCATGCACCGAGGATGGGATAGGAGATTTGGGACCAACTGCTGAGGTCCCACTGGGGTGACAGGGACTGAGTGTCCCTGGTGAGGGATGCAGGGTGAAGGATGCAGCCCAGTTCCCCCCCAGTTCCAGCTGCAGAAGGATACTGGTGCAGCAGAGCCCTGCAGAGCTGCGAGGTGGGCATGAACACGGTGTATGACAGCAGGAAACACCTTTTTAGCAGCGTATCTGCAACAGCCAAAAAGTCACCAAAATTCACCCTGCCTGGCCAGGGACGCGGTGGCCGTGGCCGGTACCCTGCGTGTGGTTGGCCTCTGGTCCCCCCCATGGTGACCATGCCTGTTGAGGGTCACTATTTGCTCCTGAACACCCCCCCAAAAAAAGGCTGGCAAGGTCGCAGGCATTGGGGGGTGAAGGAAAATGGGAAAATGAGGAGGTTTCTCCAAAAATGTAGCGTACGTTGACGCGGAGGTGGCCGCTGGTGACGCCAGCGCGGCTGCTCTGATTTTTTGCCCGCTGAGGACATCTCCTGGGGACATCCCGCAGGCAAAGGAACAGGGAGGGATGCGGGAGAGGGAGGAGATGCTCCCAGCCTCCACCTCCCAGCCCCAGCGTGAGGTTATGGGGTGAAAGGAGAAGTTTTGGGGGGCCAACACCAGGAATAAGGTGGTTTTGCTTGGTGCTGACCCTGCTGTGCATCTCAGGGTCCCCAGAGCAAGGGGGGACCTACCCAGGGGGTCGTAGAGGGTGGCGTCCAGCCTCATGAACTCCAGCAGATGCTCCAGGATCTTCTCCGGTGTCCCTGCCACCACTGAGTACCTGGTGGGCACAGCACCAGCCACATCAGGGACAGATGTCCCATTTCTGTCCCTCAGGGACAAGGTCATGGCATTAAAACCCGCCAGGTGCAGGCAGGGGACAGGCAGCATCCATGGGGACAGGGCCAGGCCGGTGTCACCTGCTGCTGCGTGCAGTGGCCGCCTGGCTGCTGCCCCCCTGCAGGTTCTTCTGCAGCACCAGCACCACCTTCCCGTGCTCCTTCAGCCGCATGGTGTTGGCCTCCACGTCCTAGGGGACAGAAAGCAGCCCTGGTGGCATCCCAAAACCCCATGTTGACACGCAGAGACGTGTCCCCTCCTGCAAACACCACGGAGGGGGCGACGGGTGTCCCAGCTTGGGATGTGCACCCATTGGAGACCCATGGGGTACCATATGCACCCATTGGACACCCATGGGGTACCCCATGCAGCCATTGGAGACCAATGGGATACTCCATGCACCCACAGGAGACTGATGGAGTACCCCATGCACCCATGGGACACCCATGAGGTACCCCAGACACCCATTGGAGACCCAGGGGGAAGCCGATGCACCCATGAGGTACCATGTGCACCCATTGGACACCCATGGGGTGCCATATGCACCCATTGGAGACCCATGGGGTACCCCAGACATCGACGGGAGACCCCTGGGGTATCCAGCGCCCACCTTGAGGATGCGGTTGAAGTCCTGCTTGTCCACGCGGAGGAAGTGGCAGTTGTCCTCGCGCAGGATGATGGTGGCCGCCCGGGGCGCGTCGTTCACCAGTGCCAGCTGCCCAAAATCGTCCCCCTCGTGCAGGGTGGCCACCAAGCCCTGGGTGAGGGTGGACACGAAAGGTAAGGGACAAGGTGGGACCCCCATGAGGGTGTTTGGGGAGCAGGGATGCACCCACCTTGCCATGGGTGACCACGTTGACTGAGCCCTTCCAGATGATGTACCACGATGTGCCCTTATCCCCTTGGCTGAACACTGCGGGGGACAAGGTTGGGTCCAGCCAAAAAGATGGGGAGTCCCTGAGCAACTCTTTCCAGCCCCCCAACATCCCTCTCCAGCCCCCACATCCTGACCGCAGGCACTCTGGTCCCCTCCATCCCTGCTCCAGCAGGAGCGTCCCCATCAATGACAACGGCTCCCTGGGTTGGGGACATCTCCTGGGGACCAATACTCACACACGGTGCCCACTCGCTGGTGTGGCTCAAACATCAGCACTGATGCCAGCTCCCGCTTCACCTGCAGTGAGAGGCACCCTGGTCACCCCAGCCTGGAGCTGAGTGATGGGGGGACATGGGTGAGCATGGGGGCAGGGGCAGGACGGGGACCTTGGGATGCTCAGAGGGGGCCAGGAGGGGATGCTCAGATGGGAAGTGATGGGATGCAGGATTCGAGGACCAGGAGAGGATGCTTGGATGGGAAATAATGGGATGCAGGATTCAGGGACCAAGAGAGGATACTCAGATGGGAAGTGATGGAATGCAGGAATTGGGGACTAGGAGAGGATGCTTGGATCGGAAGTGATGGGATGTAGGATTCAGGGACCAGGAGAGGATGCTTGGATGGGAAGTGATAGGAAAAGATGGGATGCAGGATTTGGGGATCAGGAGAGGATGCCCCAGTGGGAAGTGATGGGATGCAGGATCCGGGGACCAGGAGAGGATGCTTGGATGGGAAATAATGGGATGCAGGATTCAAGGACAAGGAGAGGATACTCAGATGGGAAATAATGGGATGCAGGAGTTGGGGACCAGGAGAGGATGCTTGGATGGGAAGTGATGGAATGCAGGATTCGGGGACCCCAAGAGGATGTTTAGATGTGAGAGGATGCGGGGCAGGGACCAGGAGAGGATGCAGGATTGGGGACTGGGAAATAATGGGATGCAGGATTCAAGGACAAGGAGAGGATACTCAGATGGGAAATAATGGGATGCAGGAGTTGGGGACCAGGAGAGGATGCTTGGATGGGAAGTGATGGGATGCAGGATTCGGGGACCCCAAGAAGATGTTTAGATGGGAAGTGATGGGATGCAGGATTTGTGGACCCTGAGAGAATGCTCGTATGGGAAGTGATGGGATGCAGGATTCGAGGACCAGGACAGGATGCTTGGATGGGAAGAGATGGGATGCAGGAAGATTTGAGGACTGGGAGCAGATCTGGGGGGATGCAGACACCGCAAGGGGAGCTGGGCACAGCCGCACTCACCGAATTGGAGAGATGAGCCACGGCTTTGATGTGCAGCAGCTCCTCAAAGATCAGCTCCAGCTCATCCTCTGTGCGCTGGGCAGGCCTGGGAGGAAATTGGTGGGGTGACCCATCTGTGCCCCCCATCCTGGGGTGCAGAGACCCCTCCCCAGGCACAGACACCCCTGCCCCGTCTGAGAGCTAGGGAAGAGATGCCGGGGTCGCCCCATCCCTTTGGAACCCCAGGCCCCCCAAAGAGGGGTCAAAATGAGCCCTGTGTGTCCCCCCCAGCCCCTGTGTGTCCCCCAGGTGCTCACGGCTTGCGCAGGGCCATGGTGAGCAGTGCGTCAGGCCCCAGCTGGGCCAGGAAGGCCAAGGCCTCCAGCAGCTCCTCCGCATCCCGCGGTCCTGCACCGGCCTCGGGGCTCAGCTCCAGCTCCGCAAAGCGGTAAAATTGGGAGTCCTTGTCCTGGAAATGCCACTCCTGCTTCACTGCGGGGGGACAGTGTCGTCAGCCTGGCCCCGCACCCGGGGGGACCCATGGGGTGCCATGCGCACCCATAGGGTACCACATGCATCCATGGGATACCAATAGGGTACCACGTGCACCCATCAGACACCCATGAGGTACCACAGATACCCCATGGGGTACCCCTTATACCCATGAGAGACCCATAAGGTACCACATGCACCCATTGGAGACCCATGGGGTACCCCATACACCCATTGGAGTCCCATAGGGTACCATGTGCACCCATGGGATATCCATAGGGTATCACATGCTTCCATGGGATACCAATAGGGTACCACGTGCACCTACAGAAGACCCATGGGGTACTCCATGCACCCATTGGAGACTGATAGGCTACCATATGCGCCCATTGGAGACCCATGGGCTACCATATGCACCCATGGGATATCCATAGGGTACCACATGCACCCATTGGACACCCATGAGGTACCACAGACACCACATGGGGTACCCCTTATACCCATGAGACACCCATAAGGTACCACATGCACCCATTGGAGACCCATGGGGTACCCCATGCACCCACAGAAGTCCCATAGGATATCACATGCACCCATGGGAGACTCATGAGGTACCCAATGCACCCATTGGAGTCCCATAGGGTACCACGTGCACCCACTGGAGACCCATAGGGTACATCCCATGCACCCATGGGAGATTCTCACCGTGCGTCAGGACCCCTCCATCCACCAGGACCTGGCAGACACCCACGGCCTGGCTGCGCGTCTGCACGGCGAGCCCAGCGCCCAGCACCCAGTCCACCAGCTCCTTCCCGGAGCAGCACTGCCTGTGGGGGGACAGGGCATGAGAAACGGCCCCGAAATGGATGCGGGGTCCTCATTCACCTGCGGTGCCCCCTTGGGGTGCTGGGGGTCCCACCTGTGATGCCGCAGGTGATGCTTGTGGTCCCGGATGAGGCCGGGGCGGGTGGTGCTGAGGTGGCTGAAGAGGAGCTTCCCCGCTCGCCAGATCCTCTCTGGAGATGCCTGGGGGTGCAAGGGGATGATGTGGCTCACAGGGACACAGGGGGGCCCTGTCACCTTCTTGGTGGTGGCCCCCAAGACCACGCATAGGTGTGATGCACCTGCATCCCCCCCCAGCACTCCCAGATCTCCATCACCCACCCCTGAGATCTCCATCACCCACCCCCAGATCCCCATCACCCTAGGGACCAAGCACCCCAGAGCCAAAGGTGAGGACCCCACAATATGGGGGTGCTCCAGCCCCTCCACCCCTCACACCCCCCCAGGTCCTTGAGGGTCCTCCCAGCCCACCTGAGTCAGGCTGTGTCCATAATCCAGAGTGGATTCGGTGTCCAAAAGCGGGGTCTGGAAAAGCAAAAAGGGGGGATTAGTGGGTGTGGGGGCTCTGCCGTGTTCCCCCCTCACCCCAGGGGTGCTCCTGCCTCCTCCAAACTCAAAGACATTGGATTTGGGATGTGGAGATGGCACTGGAGGAGAAGGAAAGATCTGGGGGTGTGAGGTGTCCAAATCTGGGGGCTTCCTGCAAATTTGAACCCAGGGCTGAAGAGGACAGAAAAGATCCCAAATCCCATCAGGAAAGGGATGTCAAATCGCAGCATAAGCAGAAAAACCTACGCAAGAAACCCTAAAAAATCAACTACAAGGACCCAGCAGGTCCTGATAGGGGAAAGGAACTTGGGATGTGCAACCCCGCACCCAGGGCCATGGAGCTGGGGAATGTGGAGCTGTTTTATTCCCAAAGGATTTTAAGGAATATCCTGGAAATGATGGGCACAGCTCCCAAAATGCACCCTTTTGGGGTGGGAAAACCCCCGACACCACCATTTTTAACTCTAATTCACCAAAATGTGCACGCGATGAGTTGATCCAACGCTGTTTTCTAAACCAGCTCCTCTTTAAGCTCTTTGTTTTTCCCAATTTTAAAAGAGCATCCTCCTTTTTTTGGGGGGAGGAGTCCCTCTGGCATCTCAGCATCCATCACCACTCATCCCTTGGGGTACCGCCCCCCATCACCCACTTAATTTAATCCTTTTAATTAATCCTTTTGCTTATATTTCCCCATTTCCCCCCCATCCTTGGGGAGGAGATGTACCCCCCATCACCCCATGCTTTTTAACCCTTTTCCTTATTTTTCTCCCCATTTTCCCCCTGGAAAGCGGATGCTCCTGGTAAAAGCAGAGCCAGGCAGGGACGAGCCATGGCCCAGCCCAAACCCGGCGCAGGGGCACCCGAGTGCTCCTCCAGGTGCCCCCCATGGGGGCAAAGGCCCCCCCCATGGCCCCAAATAAACAACTTTTGCTCTTTGCTGCATAAATGAGGAAGCGGGAGCACCCGTCAGACCTGTTCTCCACCAGCACCCAATGCATTGGAGCGTGAATGGGCCCAGGGCCACCCTTTCTGGGGGTGTCTGCACCCCCAGGGGAAGGTTTTGAGATCCCCACTGCACCCCCCACAGGTTGGGGGCAGTCAAAAAATGGTGGGTTTTGGGCCAGGTCCTCCTGCTGCTGCTGGTTGGGGAGGTTTGAGTAAACGGTTGATGACGGCTTCAATTAAGGAAGGGGTAATTAGCACCTGAAGGTTTCTGTGCTAATGAGTCTAAGGATAAAAGCAGCTCCTGGGAGCTGAGAGGGAACCAAACCTGGCCCAGGTGGGGGGAGGTGGGCACTCACCCATGGGTGCTCAAATTGGTGCTCTGCCCTGGTCCAAACCCTGCCCATCCTAAATCCGGTCCCAAACCCCATCCCAAAATCCTTCCCGTCCCAAACCCCATCCCAAATCCTGCTCATTCCAAATCCTCTGTATCCCAAAATCCTGTCCATCCCAAAACCCATCCTAAAATCCTGCCTGTCCCAAACCCCATCCCAAACCCTGCCCATCCCAAACTCCATCTCAAACCCTTTGCATCCCAAACCCCATCCCAAATCCTGCCCATTTCAAGCCCCATCCAAAACCCTATCCCAAACCCTGCCCATCCCAAACCCTATCCCAAAGCCCATCCTAAACCCTGTCCCAAACCCTTCCCATCCCAAACCCTGCCCATCTCCAGCTCCTCCATTGCTTTCCATCCCCCCAGGGCCTCCTCATCCTCCTTGGGACACCCTGGATGCCTCCAGCCCCCGACCAAGAGCTTGAGGAGATATTTTGGGGGAGCAGACGCCAAAGCGGGAAAGCGGTGGCTCTGTGGGGACGCTCCCGCCCTGGCGGGGACACGGGGACTTAATCACTCTGCAAACGTCCCCGCACCTCGTGACGGCCGCACGGAGCAGGAAACGCCACCGCAGAGCAAATGTTTGCGCACCGGAGCCGGGACCCGGAGGTCGGGGTCACCCCCCTCCTGGGGCGCTGCGGTCCCCAAAAACGCCTCCACCATCACCCCATCATTGAGGGCTGGCCTTGAGGGCAAGGAGCCAGGTCCTGGAGCTTGCAAGGACACCGAAAATTTGCAATTTTTCCCTCCTGGATTTAATCCCAGCTCTGAAACACGCGCAAAAACCTCCCATCTGCCCC